TTTACGAGACCACCGAACCATCCCGTTGGGGTCTCCTGCTTCCAACCTGGTGCTGCAGAGGAAGGAGGATGACCGCTTTAATGCGGCTGCGGCCGGGAGGGCAGGGTCACGGCAAATACCGGCCTGGTCCTTGAAGCATGTGAGAAGCTATACCCTTGGCTCGCGCCGCGAGCTGGGCGCAACGGTTGCAGCTGCGGGGGACCCGCCAAAGCCAAAGTGGCCGTTAGAGGTCAGTGCCTGCCAGCAGATCGCTGCACGCGAGCGTACTGTTTGCGTTCCAGGAACGGGCCAAGCACTCAGGGGTGGCAGAGGCAGGGAATAGAAACGTGGTCCATACTGACGTTTGCTTAACTAAAGCATGCATTGCATTTGGAGGTCCACGCTCACGTCCTGCGAATGCTGCACCGATACGCAGAGGGAAAAAGTCTATTCTTGGAGCCTGTGGAGGAAACTCTCATGCAGCTAAAGAGAGCATCCTTTGTTCCCTCCTCTCCAGGCCTGGGCGGCTAGAGGAGACCATCTGCTTCTCTCCAGGTGGTGCGCTCTATGTATAACCTACCACCGGTACTGGCACCACCTAGACCCCTTTGCTATTAGCTGCAGCAAAGAGGCCAAGGACTGATTGGGAACCCCCCAACTTAGTCTGTTGGGTCAGGTTTAAGCAGGCTGGTGCTGGAGAAATGCAGGGTTTCATTCCCCAGGCCTGCCAAAACCAGCGTGCCGCGTGCACGCTAAACTCCCCTTACACTCAGCGCCGGAGCACTGTTGGTACAAGCCGGAAAGGTGGGGAGCTGGCTGCCATCCCCTCTGATGTGTCTCCAGGAACAGCTGAAACATGATGGGGCTACCGTGTTCACACCCAGCAGGGAAGAGGAGCTGCTCCTTGTCATGCGGGGCCCGAGCTCTCCGGGGATCCAGGGAGCTGAGACACCGGGAAGGAATTTTTCGCCTTTGGAAAACCATAAATCTTTAAATATCCTGTTTCCACTGCAAAAAGAGAAGTTTCCAGACGGGGCCGGATAGCCCGCGTTCTGGGTGGCGGTGCCTCCTTTTTGGGTGTCTGCACGGAGTTGTTTTAGAAAGGGCGTGCGTGCGTGTGTGCGTGTGTGCGCATCAAGTCGCCTCTTCAAAGAAGACGTGGTTTTCTGTCTCTGGCTCTGCCCTCGGAGGCAGCCAGATCGTGGCTAACAAGCCAGGAGGGATCCCGGCAGGGATGAGAGAGGGGCATAAATCAGCGTGTAAACCCCGTGACCTTTCTGGGAAGCACCGTGTGGATTCCAGGTGAGGAAAGGGGCAGGACGGGGGTGAGTTTGGAGCTAGCTACATCAGGTATCATCAAAGCATGTTAGAGATTCGCTCCCCCCCATCCAGCTCCTCCGGCTATGCAGGAATTTTGCCCAGGGGGGAGCCCATGTACTCTAGCCTTAGTGAACTCTGCAAGCAGGGTTTCCTCACCTTTTGGGAGAGGCTTTTTGCATCCTAATGGACTCTCCCTGCTGGGAAGCTCTTCTTGTTAGATCACCTGAAAAAATGCACCTTTAGTCGGTCTAATAAAAGATTATCACATCTGCCCAAAGAGCCCTTTCATCAGCTGCTCTCTCCTCCTGGCCTTTGAAGTTGCCTTTCTCTTCCTCCTTCCCCAGCCCCGCAGGGAAGAGGCTTGAGATATTCAGCAAGCGTTCGCTAGAGGGAGCAGGGATTTTAGACCAGACTCCAGAAACTGGAAGGAAATGTGTTTCTGGAGGAGAGGTGCTTTTTGGAGTGGATTTAGTGTGGCCATTGCATTGTGGAACTGGCTGTGGAGAGGGGGTCTGGACTGGGGAAATAAGGAGAGGCAGACCTTGGAGGTGACTGAGTTTGGAGAGAAAAGTCTGGGGCGGCGAGTGATGGGGCTATGGGGTTTAAATCGGTCTCAAGTAGGCGTCGAGCTGCAGCTAGGTGTTGGTGTGCTTCGCTTCTCTGCCACAGGCTTTCTGTGTGACCTTGAGTAAATCACTTAGCCTCGCTGTCTCAATTCTCCAGTAAAGGGCGGGGATAGCAGCCCTGCATCGCCTCCCTGGGTCATAGGAAGGTGCTTAGATACTGTGGAGGCGCTGGGACTACGCACGTGGAAGATGGCCCATCTCAATGCAGGTGAAGATCAATGGACCCGGAGGGAGGGAGCCTTGGGGCCGCTGGCGAACCTGGGCGCTGCAGGTAGCGCCCCGTTTGCTTCTGCCTGGGCCTGTTGTGCAGACGTGTGTCACATTCTAGTTGCACCGTCTACCTCGCACGGTCCTTTTGCAGTCGCTCGGGTACCATCGTGGCGCCTGGCACGTCAGCTATGCCATGGGCACGACGTGGACAGCGGTCGGTGAGGGGAGCTGTGTCTGTGCCCCGCGGGTCTCTTTTCCGGGGTGACTCGCAAGATACCAAATACTATATCATGGAAAATTCTCCCAGCAGCTGTGCCTTGTCTCAGGAGGGTGCTCCGCATCCCCCCAGGGATGGTGGAGTCGGTGGGATCCCTAGAAGGTTTGTTTAGCACCTTTTGGCTCCTATACAGTGAAGGCCAATGGGTAAATTTGGTCCCTCTTACTGCAGCTAGACTGTGTCTGCTTCCCCTGCTGCCTTGGGTATGTCTAGGCCCAGCCCAGCTCTGCCACAGACCCTCCCGTACGACACTGGGCAAGTCACTTAACCTCAGTGGCTCATCTGCAAAATGGGGAAACTGCACAGCAGAGTGCTCTGGTGGTCACTAACCCCGCTGACTGCCGGGGTAGAAACGGGGTCTTCCCGCTCCTTCCCTCATCTTGAGTGAGGTGAAGGTAAATTGGACATTATCGGGTGGCTGTAGCGGGTTGGGTTATAGAGCTAGGCAACCCCAGTCCCACCCAGTAAAGGGCACTGGCACACAGTGGCAAATATGGTGGTTGTCTGTACACCAGTAGCACTCAGAAGCATTGAGATGCCCATGGTGTTACGTGAAGTATGGACCAAACAGTCCCAATCCCAGAGACCTTCAATCCTAACTCTCAGGAAAGGGCGGGGGAAGGAAATGCCATTATCCCCATTTGACAGATGAACCACTGAGGTGAGGTAACTTGCCAAATGTAGTACAGGAAAGTCTGTGGCAGAGAGCGGTGGCTTGAGTCCTAAACCAGTGCTTTCCCCATTGTGATGTCCTTCCTCTTGGTTGCTTCAGTGCAGTATTGTTCCCTTGGCTCCACTGGGGAAACCGAGGCAGAGTTAGGGACACAATTGCTTCGAGCTGGAGATCGGGGCGTAGGAGCGTCTGTCGAGCCCAAGCTCTTACCTTTCAGCCTGGTCTTCTTTTACCTGCTCCGGTCTCTCTCTCCCTCGACACACATCTCGCAGGAGCCAAGCTAGCCTGAGGTTCCTGCAGGAGACGGAGCCAGGAGGGCTGGGACGTGGGCCCGGCCAAGCCAAGTCACTTGACACGCTGCCCGTCGGTCAGGAGCCCGTGTCCTCTCCGTGCCATGCCTGGCACAGACGCTCGGCTCTTTCCCACCCCTGAGCAGCAGCCGCCCCGCGCCGGCTCCTAGGTGCCAACAATCACTCGTGCACCTGGCGCCGTATCAAAGCCGATGTCCCGGTCACGGCGCCCGGGGACACGTCTCTTTCCCAGCTACTGGAACCAGCCTGGGCTCCTTTATTTTCCCCGTCTGCCTCAGTGGCCTTGTCCTTGCAGGGGGGGCACGGTGGCTGGGCTTGGCATCATCGGGTCAACGAGCTTTTTCCCCACCCATCGTTAAAAACAGAGGAGTTGAAAGCATCCTCGCACGAGAAGTCGAGACCCACCCATCTCTCCCCATTGCTTCTTCCGTCACCCTTTCTCCCCCTCCATTGCATATGATTTTTACCTACCAAGGGTGCTTGCCCTGGATATTCATAGAGTGTAATATTCATAGATTGCATTTATTTACCGGGCTGGGTGCAGAGAGCGGGGTCTACCCCAGAGCGATGGTACGGTCAGGCTATAGGTGAGGATGAACCCATTACAAAGCAGCAACTGTTGAGTCTCGGGGCCGAGGCGTTAAAGGGATCGAGGTGTAATTTTGCCCCGGTGCTGTATTAGAAGTGCGGGGCAGGCGTCAGGAAAATGTTACCTTCCCCTGCTAGTGCTGACGGCGGAGGAAATTCTCACATTCGCAGCTCCAAAGGTTACGTTTTTGGAGGGGCCTCGTCTGGATGTTGCTGGGGTGGGGGGACGGGACCTGCCGTCTCCCTTGCTGTGTGGCCCCGATGGAGGTGGGCGGTTGCGTGCTGCCTTTCTCCTGGAGCCTGGCTGGACGAGGGTTTCTCGGGCCCTGGAGTGTGGTTGTGTGTACGCGCGCGAGCGTGAGTTAATCAAAAATAACAAACAGCGCTTTTCCGCCCTGGCGCGGCGGGCAGGGGGTGCGGGGCACAGCATGAAAGCCTGTGCTGTGGAGGGAGGCGGTGGGGATTACAGGGCCGGGCAGGAGGCGAGGGCCAGAGGACAGGAACATTCCTCGCATTGCTGGGAACGTCGCACAACATCCAGGCCGCAGGAGCGGGCATGGGAGGGGGGCTGGGATGGGGATGGGAGCCAGGCCTGCCCATGCCAGCACTGCGCTTACTTGCAAAGCTGGAAAGCATGCTCTCCGTCGCCTGGGATCATACCCCGCACCCCTCCGCTGCTTTGTTATTGTAGGGTCTCTTGTAAGCGCCGCTGCTATCTGCCTGCAGGGTTGTCTGTGTGCTGGTTTTAAGCCTGGAGGGTCACCCGGGGGTGCTGGGATCCAGCCAGGAACGAGGAGAGCTCGCTTCTTTTCCTAGCTGTGCCACTGCCGACCAGGGTGACCTTGGCCAAGTCCCTTACCCTGCCATTCCCCACCCCCTTTGTTGAGTTCAGGCTATAAGCAGGCCCTCTGTGTTTCCGGGGATGCCTGCAGTACCTTGGTGCAGCGGATCCTGGTTGCCAGATCCTGCTCGGCTTTTAGGAGGACGCTGTCAAGACGGGCATGTTCTGATTGCAGGTGTTCTCCAAAATCTTCAGTCACGAGGCGCTGGAGAGCTACCTCCCCAAGATCCAGCTGGTGATCCAGGACACGCTCCGGGTGTGGAGCAGCACCCCCGAACCCATCAACGTCTACCACGAGACACAGAAGCTCACCTTCCGCATGGCCATCCGGGTCCTGCTGGGCTTCCGCATCCCCGACGAGGAGCTCAGCCAGCTCTTCGAGGTCTACCAGCAGTTCGTGGAGAACGTCTTCTCCCTGCCCCTGGACTTGCCTTTCAGTGGCTACAGGAGGGTAAGAGGCTTCCCCAAATGCTGCCTAGGGTGGGGGGTCCTGGGCTCAGCTTAGCAGGACAGTGTCGTGGTGTCCGGCACTGGTTTGGGATTAAGGAGGTGTTCCTTGCTCTGCCACAGATTCCCTGTGTGGCCTTAGGGTAGTCACTTAACCCATCCTGTGGGTTAACCCATCCTGTATATTGGGGCAATACCCCTGCATCACACAGGGGAACCCGTTAATGGCTGGAAGTGCTCAGACGCTATAAAGGGATCAGCGCATGCCTAGGTGATGGGGGTGGAAAGGAATCAGGGTGCCTATTGCTTGCCTTCGTGTTCGTTCTCTAGTCCCTGATGCAGAAATGCTCGGGGATCCCGCTCTCGGTTCCTAGGCCCGTGCAGTCTGACACAGGGAGGATTAGGTGGAGTTTTGCTGTTTTTTTAGCAGGGGATTTTCTTTGTTCGTACCACCTAACTTGACTGCCATCAACTCTCCGTGCCCGGCTTTTACTCATGTATTTGACTGCTTGAAAAGCACCCGGAAACCAGCTTTTCCTCTCATTTCTAGTTTCTTTCCAATCTTTCGATGGAAGGCTGGAAAAGTCAGCTGTTTTTAACAACGAAAAACGTTTAGTTTTTATTCTTGTCCTGAATCCAGAGACCTCAGAGAGCAGCAGATGTTTGAAAAATTTCTTTTCCATTTGTTTCCCACCCCCATTACAAACTTTCCTCCTGTTCTGACCCAGCTTTCTGAGAGGGATGCTCCTCTCAGTGGTGCTCCAGGGATGGGATGCTTTTGAGATCCTCTGCAGAAAAAGGTGCTGGCTAGGAGCCTCAGCCTTGCTCTTGCAAACCTGCCGTTGCTTTTGGGAAGGCAGCTGGGGAATGACATTGCATTCATGGGAAGAGGAGTCCTCCCGTGGGATGTGGTGGATTCCTTTAGGGGAGGAAATGTGACACGGGATGGGGAGATAAAGGGTGTGAGAACTGGGGATGTCCAAGGACGTTTGCCCAGGACTTCTTTCTAGCACTGTGACAACTTGCCATCCCATGCAAATTGTAGGTCCCTTAAAGCTAATTTCCTCTGGGTGCCCTTGGGTGGACGAGAAGCTGCGATGCCCCGGCTTCTCATTTCGCAGGCTGACGGCTTGTCGTTTTCTAGGGGATCCGAGCACGTGAGACCTTGCAGAAGGGGCTGGAGAAAGCCATTCGGGAGAAACTGCAGAACACGCAGGGCAAAGACTATGCCGATGCGCTGGATATCCTGATAGAAAGTGGCAAGGAGCATGGCAAAGAGCTGACCATGCAGGAGCTGAAGGTAAGGACGTCCTCCCGGGTGAAGCCAGCTGTTTCCAGCTGTTCCACCTCCCTTAATGCACTGATGTGGGGCCGCTTGCTGTCTGGTTCCTTCTTCCCCTTCCCCAGACAATCCCCAGGCAGCTCGAACACAAGACAGGAGGAAGCCAGCAAGCTGAGGGCGAGCTCAGGGCTGCAGGGCAGAAGTAAGACCCAGGGGCTGCCGTCGCATGGGCGTGCTGGCAAAGCTGCCTTTCAGTCCCTGCCGGGACTCTGCGGTTCGGCAGCCCGGCCATTTCCCCCCGAGCACAGAGAGGTCATTCACTGTGTTAGTCTGACGTCAGGGTGGATTCGTACCTTGTAGACTCGCTAAATTGGAGGCAAAGAAATGAGCTTTCAGGAGCCTGAGCTCACTCCATCAGATGCCCTGCGAGGCCAGGCCCAGAGCAGCGTGTTTCCCCAAGAGCCGTGTTTATTTAGCGATCCTATCCAGGCCTCCACAAAGAGTATTTCTGGGAACCGCGTCGCTGCGGCATAGAGGTGCTCTCTGTTTGCAGGCACGCGGCAAACACGGACCCCAGTGCTGGGCCCTGGACCGCTCACGGTCCTGCTTCTCACTGCGACAGGGGAGGGGACGGGGGGCAGAGCGGGGAAGCAACTTTCCTCCAGGCACAGAAGCCACCGGTGTGTGCCCGTTCCCGGCAATGTGTCCTCTCTGCCGAGGGGGTTCCCCAACCCTATCTCTGGCTCTCAGCTCCATCTATCTTGTTCCTGGGAACACGCTGCAGCCGGGCGCCTCGTTTCAGAGATGCAGCTTGTTGGCTCGGACCCAACAAGTAGCTGAAACTCAGCAGCGCGGGTGGTGCTGAGAGGAAGAGGAAAGGCTTCCCACGGGGACGTTTTCTGCTTCCTATGACACGGGAGTGATTGGAGCGGGGCTGTTGCCGGCTGTGCCGTACTTCGCACAGAGCTCCCCGTTGTTGTCCTTTGCTAAATCTGTTTGAGATGGAGCTGGCCTGCGGGTGGCTTTTGTGTGGTTCGTGCCTGCAAATCTCCAGGGCCGTCAGCTGGGCATATGGCTGCAGCTGGAAAGGAAAGGCGTGTATATAGGCTGGAGCATTGGGTTGAAACCCAGCTCGGGTTGTCATTGCTACCTGCTGCATCTGTAGCAGCTGGTGAGCTTCAGCCCGGCTCCTAGCAGACAGGTACTTGCCTCATTTGCTGAAACAATAGCAGGTATAGGTATACCTATAAGTTCAGAGATGATACCTTTTATTAACCCAACTGAGTCTAATATTGGTAATAATACCTATTATTGGTCTAATAAAAGGTATCGTTTCTGAACCAAGAGTTCTATTTTTTTTTGCATTTCTTTTGTCTCGGGCCAACACGGCTACCAAATCCACCCCGAGACCTGCTATTGTCATCGTTGCCAATTGGATCGGGAGAGGGGGCGTATTGCCGTGGAAAATGGAGATGCTTTTTCAGCCCCCGGGGTGGTGTTACTGGGCCGGGCAGAGGGTGGCATGGAGCCAGGGGAGGACAAGGGAGGGGGCGAAGGAGAGTAGAAACTTTCCTGCCCGTGGGTCTCGCGCACCACTCAGTTGGGCTGTTGCACGTCCAGACCAGGCGGCAGGTTCTGGTTGGGGTCAGGAGCAATCCGGATATGGCCCCCAGTGCCTGCGGGACCAGCCAGGAGGTTGCTTACCCCTTCCTCTGCCAGGGACAGGCGGAGCGGGGTAGGCGAGTGGGTGGTTTTGCTGGGATGCTCGGCAGAGCCAAGGGGAAGCCCTGCAGAGCTGCAGTGTTGTGTGTGCACACATATGTGTGCATGTGTTTGTGTCAGTGGGGGAAGCCAGGGCTGAGTCCACTCCCCCCCCAACCACCCTAAAGCACACAAGGACATGTCTCTCCCTTGGCTTGGAAAGCATCCCTGACCTCTTCAGTGACTGCCTCCTCCTCGGCCTGGCAGCAGGGGCCTTGGCCCGGTGCTGGGTGAACGTGCTGTTCCCGAGGCATCCCAGTCTGGCAGGAAGGCCATTTGTGAGCAGGGGTTTGTGGCTTGGAGGTTGGGAGGGGGTGGCAGGCCCATGGGAAGCCTCACGACCAGGGGACTGGAAATGGGGCCGATCCCCTGACGTCATGAGATGGGGAAGGCAGAAATGATCCATCCCAGGCTGCAGCTCATCGGCTCAGCTGCTCCATTAATGGCTCGGGCTGGGGTTTTAACCTCCCCTGGCCCCAGGTCTCGGTGGCACTCTCTTAACTTGTCATTGGTCTCCCTGTCCTGCATTTTTCTATCCCTTCTGTCGTGGGGGAGATGGATGGTACTGTTCACGGGAGCCCTCCCAGCCCGACTCCCTTCATCGTTCTGCTGATGCCTTCCAGCTCTGTCCCAAAGCGCGCGCTGGGGCTCATCTGTCACCAGATGTCTTCTGAGTGGCTCTTTCCAGTTGTGCCAATGTGCACGATGGAGATATGATCTCTTTGGGGGCTGGGCTGAGACCAAATGGCTCATTGCAGTTGTGAAATCCAGTGAGCGGAAGGCGAGTGCTGTAGGAGGATTGTGTTGCAGCAGCCCTGTATTGCCTCCCTGCATCCAATGCCTGCTCCAATGCATGTATTGCAACAGCCCTGTATTGCCTTGGTGCAGAATCACTGCTTCGGGCACGATCATAATATAAATGGTGATTTATTTGTCTATTAGGCAGCGCCTTCCGTAGTCAGCTGTGTTTTGTCCTTGCAGCACGTAACGTGGGCTTCCTTCTGTTTTCAGGACGGCACTTTGGAGCTGATCTTTGCTGCCTACGCGACCACGGCCAGTGCCAGCACCTCTCTGATCATGCAGCTCCTCAAACACCCCCGGGTCCTGGAGAAGCTGCGCGAGGAGTTGAGGACCAAGGGCATCCTCCACAACGGCTGCATCTGCGAGGGATCCCTCCGGCTCGACAACATCACCAGCCTGCAGTATCTGGACTGCGTGATCAAGGAGGTGCTGCGTCTCTTCACTCCCATCTCTGGAGGGTACAGGACAGTCCTGCAAACCTTCGAGCTGGATGTGAGTATTTGAGCTCTGGGTGCATCTTGCCACATGCCTCCCAGTGGGACCTGACAAGTTTAGGATGGTGTGTGCCAGGGTCACTTGGGCTTTGGGGACAAGCAAGGGGTGCCAGGTCCATATGGACAGTTTTAGGATGGTGTGTGCCAGGGTCACTTGGGTTTTGGGGGCAAGCAAGGGGTGCCAGGTCCATATGGACAGTTTTAGGATGGTGTGTGCCAGGGTCACTTGGGCTTTGGGGACAAGCAAGGGGTGCCAGGTCCATATGGACCGTTTTAGGATGGTGTGTGCCAGGATCACTTGGGTTTTGGGGGCAAGCAAGGGGTGCCAGGTCCATATGGACCGTTTTAGGATGGTGTGTGCCAGGATCACTTGGGTTTTGGGGGCAAGCAAGGGGTGCCAGGTCCATATGGACAGTTTTAGGATGGTGTGTGCCAGGGTCACTTGGGCTTTGGGGACAAGCAAGGGGTGCCAGGTCCACATGGACATAGTGGGTGGAGGATCTTAGAGACTACGGCAGCGATTCTCAACCAGGGTAACGTGAGATCCTTTCAAGGGGGATGCAGGGTGTTGTACAACATGAGCACTGTTAGGTGTGCAAACACCTGCATGTGAGTCACAAGATAAATCCAGAGATTTCCAGTAGGAATCCATTGGATCAAACCTATTTTGACCTATTGGGTGTCTTTCTGATTTCTGTGCAACAGAAGAATTGCTTTGTAATTTTTTTTGTAGGCAAGAAAGGAGTAGAAGTTCAGAGCTAGCATTTTCCAGGGGGTGGGAAAGCAGGACTTTGGTCCCCCTGCTTTACCTGCGGCAGATTCAGATGTGATGTCTTGTGTTACGTCGGGGCTGACAATAGTTTTCTGAAGAGTTTAGATGATGGATTGGTATAGGACGGCTTGGCCAGGGCTGATCCCGTCTCAGGCAGGAGGTTAGGTGAGATGTGATCTCCGAAGGTCCCTTCCAACCTGACTTCTCTGTGATTTCTATGATCTGACTGTTGATGCAGAGTATGGAAAGGATCTTTTTGAACCTTTCCACATAACTCAGACAGGGGGGAATACATTTTGCACAGCCATGCAAACAAGGAGATGTAGAGGGTAGTTTTTTGGCATGGTGGTCTGGGTACAGCAGGATATAATCTGTATTGCAAGTCTCATTTATGCTACGAGGCTTTCTCAAAGAGGAAGGTTTTGCAGCAGTTGAAATATGTGGTTTGGGAGAAGATCAGGTAGTGCACAATCTCTTGACAGTTGCACGGGGGATTATTAATATTTATCTACACACTCGTGCATGTTCACAGCCTGATTTGGGCACAAGGGATCACAGGCTGCTCCTTGTTGCATGCAATGAGTGAAGCTTGCACGGGGCTCGATACCTACATAGCAATTTAACCCAGAGAGAGGATGAATTCGAGTCCTACTGGTGGGAGATCAGTGCAGTCGCTCTGTGTCCCCCGTGGTACAACTGACTCACAATGTGGCCCGTGACCTGGCACCAAATCTTCCAGGCTGCCAAAGATGAGAAAAGTCTAAATGTCGAAAGAGAAACACATGATGGCTTTGAAGCCAAAACCTAAATTGGGGTGTGACAGGGGAAAGGTTGTTGCAAAGGGAAGCTACAGCCTTTTGGATGACAGGCTGGTGACTCACCATAATGGATGGAAATTTCTACTGGCAAAACAAACCGTTGAGAGAGACCCGGCTGTCGCAGCAAATCTCCGCTAATGTCCAGATTGGAGTCAGACACCGTTTAAAGTCATCAGGGGAGGATAAATCCCCCTATGTACTCATCAGTGCTTTCTCTGCACACCCGGGCTCTAATTCGCATTATGGGCGTATGCTGTTACGTGTGTAGGGGAACGGGGCGTGCCGGTGCCTCCTGTATAGCTTGTGTGGACATTGCAATGGGAAGGGCTGAATGACAAGTGGGAGGAAAGCAGAGGTGTGAGAAAGCTGTATTTTCCTGCATCGTCGGGTGGTTTAGATGCTGAGGTCTCTAACTGGTTTAAAGGGAAGTCTTTCAAGTTGCACTCATGTAAATAGACTAGGCAGGGGTTAAAGGGATGAAATCTCGTTAGATCAGCTCACAAAACCGAGCTACAAATATTTCCAGCTTGCCTCACTTCCCCCCAGGTTGGCTATTCCTTGTGTTTTTGCAGGCTGTTTCTATGAAAAATAAGGGGTCTTTTGGGTTTTTGGGGGGGTGATCTCTTTTATTGGACCAATTGCATAGTTGGGAGAGAAATTTGATGAGCTTTTGGGCACAAAGTGGGTGTGGGCTAATTGTGTCTCATGTATTTCCTGGACTGTCACAGCTACAACAACCTTCCAACCGTTTTATTTTGGAAAGCTTAGCTTTTTCGCCTTTCCTGCTTCTTGTGAAAGAGCCATAAAAGCAAAGCGAGACACAAAGATTCACATCCTGCAGCTGCCTAGGCAGGGGAGAAAGTTTTGTGGGGGCATAAATGGATCGGAGCATAGCTGGCTATCCCAAGGACAAGGTGCTGCCTAACATACAAATAAATCACCACTTATAGCATGGTCGTGCCCAGAGCAGTGAGTCCTAACCAAGGCACCCCAGCACCCTGCGGTGCCACAATAGTCTTTTAAGGGTGTTAAGTGCCACACGATATTAGCACTGTTAGTCGTGCAAACTCCTACACATGATTCACAAGAGAAACCCAGGGAGCCCAGAGCATTACAGATGCTTTGACCTGTTCTGGGCTGGCTGAGTTCTTTGCAACAGAAAAATGGATCTATTGATTTTCTGGCAACTGGGATTGATATGAGATTTCTTTTCTCTTTAGTGTCTTTACATCTATTCTGTTAATGGCCACGTGACACTGATGCATTTCTTGTCTTTCTTTCCCCTTCTCTATAGGGCTTTCAGATCCCCAAAGGCTGGAGTGTCATGTACAGCATCCGGGACACCCATGACACCGCCCCGGTATTCAAGGATGTGGACGTTTTTGACCCGGACCGTTTTGGGCAGGGTCGCACCGAAGACAAAGATGGCAGGTTCCATTACCTCCCCTTTGGTGGGGGCGTACGGACCTGTCTTGGCAAGCATCTGGCCAAGCTTTTCCTCAAGGCGCTAGCCATTGAGCTGGCCAGCACAAGCCGGTTCGAGTTGGTCACCAGGACTTTCCCTAGACTCATGCTGGTGCCTGTGGTCCACCCGGTCGATGGACTCAAGGTGAAATTTTTCGGACTGGATTCCAACCAGAACGAGATTTTGACGGAGACAGAAGCCATGTTGGGGGCAACGGTGTAAACCAACTCCTGCTCACACCTGCCCTCCGCTGGGGGGAGAGCAGATGGGGGCCAGGGGCGGGGGTGGGCAGGGGGAAGGACGCCAGAAGACCACACCAAGAAGATGCTTCTCCACAACGCTAACTTTGCCGAACCTCCAGGTCGAGGCTTTCCCCGACAACGAAGCTGCCAAAATAATAGTTTATTTCCGTGGGGGAAGTCCAAGGAGATTGAGGGGGGTGTGTGCATTGCTGATGATGCTTTTGTTTAAACGAAGAATTCCAAGTCTGACCATACACAGTATATGAATATTTTAAATCTTTATCTATTTCTGCTGCAAGGGAGAGCTTGGAGGATGCCTTTGGTGGGAAAGGCTTTGGAAATCACCTGGTAGCCCAAGGTCTGTCTGCTCCACGGGCCAGGAGGCAGGGGCAAGAACTGGTGATGGCAGGCTGTGACTTCCGGTGGCCTTTGATCTTTTTGAACAGTGTTAAATTAGTTGGTGAAAACAGTGTTGTTTTTCCTCTGCTTTCTTACGGGGCGAATGAGGAACCCATCTCTTCCCTATCTCCAACCCCCTGACCCCTCCAAGCTGCATCCAACTCCGATTTATCTCCCGGTGGTTTGGAATTTGGTGTCCAGGTGGAAGCAGCCCCGTTCCCACCATGCCCGGGGTTGTCTTGGTGGGGAATGGCATGCAAAGTCCCCCCCATGGCCAACATGGCTTTGGCATGACTGTGGCACTGCTGCAGTGTGCTCTAGGCTGCTCAGGCCGGCAGGCTGGGCTGGACCGGGTGCTTGATTCAGCCCATGCTTCGTGAAGAAGGAAGCCTGGTGGGGCAAATTTCCAGGCCAAGCATTGCTCTCTGATCTGGGTCGTGGCCTCTCATCAGCCTCGATGAGAGCTGCCCTCACGTCAGAGAGCAGACTGGGGTCCTCGACACGTCCTTGAAGCTGGCTTCTGCTGCTACGTGGCCTGTGTGTATCTGCTCCTTTCCTCTTCTCCTCTCTTTTTTTTTTTTGTTGTCAAAACCCAGGCAACTGCTTTTTTCCAGCGAGTCATGTGGTGTTGCTTTCTCTCCGTATCTCTCAGGCCCTCTGGCGTGTGCACTGATCTCTGAACCGCGTGTATTTTGCAAACTCTGCTGGGGTTCTGCCAAGGCAGGTGACGCTGCAGTGTGGCCAGTTGCCTTATGTGCTTGGGACAGCTACACAATTAAGCCTTCTCCCCCAAAAAACCCTTTAGCTCCACTCTGAGTTCCCCTGCGTTTATCCCTTACCCTTCACCCACTTCTATTAAAGGCATTCATTTAAAAAAACAACAACAAAAGGATTTATGGGTTGTCTTCAGTTTTTTTTGAGGTGGGAAGGTCTTGGAGGGTGGAAGATGAGTCTTAAGGTGCCTTCTGAGTTCACCCTTCCATCCTCAGCATCTTGCCTAGGTGAGCATTTGACCCCAGAGAGTGAGATGCTGGCCTCGTACAGATGTTCAGTGTCTCCCCGGAGAGTTGCTGCACTCTCAGGAGAAACCCATGCATGCACAGATGTTCAGGCTTTTTCTCTCAGAGTAAAAATGGCTGCTCCAGGAGAAAAATAACCAGGGTTAAATCACTCCCAGGAGAGTTTCTCCTGAGAGAGTGAATGTCTGTCCATGCCAACCATCAGTGCAGCCCTCATTGGGAATTTGGTAGGTCACAGGTTGCCAAGGGCAAGCTTGGAATGGCTGTGCTCCTCTGGGGTCCATGCTGCAGGGTTCGGGTTCAAATGTCAATGAAGCTCCGGGGTGTGTTTTGTTAATGGTGCACCTTTGCTGTGAAAAACAGAGGGTCTGCTTGTCTTCAGACGTGCTGAGCATGCACGGTTTGCTGCTTGGACTAGCAGGGTGCGGGCGCATCGTTTCAGAGAGCCCTACACTCAACCAGAATGGCTGCATCTTCTTTTGCTTTCCTGGTGGCTAATAGCTGGGAGCTGGACTAACCCCCTGCACTGCCACTACTTCTGGGCAGCAGCAATCAATGACTGGTGAAATCAGGGAAATCTCTTTCAGCGGTGTCCAAGACATCTTTGTTCATCTGTGCTCCAAGACCTGAGTGTAAACAGACTTTCTGTGGCTGCAACCATCTCCATTCTGTCCTCTGTTTCAACAGAGGCCCCTCATGCAGTGTGACAGGCAGAGAAAGGCAAACACGCAACCAGAACCGAGGCCTTTCTCAATGTTGGTGGCAATAGATGCAACGTGTGAGTAAGGCCACTTGTTTTTTCCTTTATTTTGAGGTCAGGATAAGTCAGAGGAAGTTCAATCAGAAGGAATGAAATTCCCACCGGGTTTTCCAGGGGTTGCAGGCTCCATTCTTGACTCATTGGACTTCCAAGGAAGTGTTGATTGAAAGATGTCAGTGGCAGCACTAGCCAGCCTTTCATCCGTCCAGGACTTTGGCAGCCCCTTGGAAGGGGAAGCCCTAAATATATTAAGTCCAGCAGCCAGAACTCCTCTAGCCGTGTGTAGATAGACAGACACCCCGCTCTGCTTCCCGAGTCCATGGGAGAGTCCGTTGTCTCTGAGGCTTGCTGTTATATTGTCTCTCTGTGGTCCATTTTGCAGAAGGGTTTTATTTCACATGAATCAGGGTTCTGGATCTGGGGGAGGAAATTCTAGTCCAGTTCTGGGTCTCGCAGCTGATCCATAATCTCTATGACAGCATGAACCAAGACCCGGTGTGAAATCCCACCAAGCTAGAATTTGTATCCCTCAGGCCTATGTCTCGCAAGCAAAATCTGCAATCCGGATTTGGGTCTTTGGTGGTCCGAGACCTTTCACGGGAACATCCCAGATCCAGGCTCGTGAACACACTGCTTGCATTTTTGATGGAAATGCGACTTCTCTGGGATAAATTTGGCTTATAGGAACCTGGGCAGGATGAATCTGGGGAGTACAAATGATTGGGTAGGGAAGGGGATGACGCTGATTTGAGCATTGCAGAGCCTTCAGAAAGAGTTGTTCTTAGGTTGGGCAAACACGTGTCTCATTGTACACGTCTCCAAAGTGTTTCCCGGTGAGCTACAAAAATAAACACTGAAAATTACAGGGTTTGGGGTGGAAAATTGTCCAAAGGCATCAGTCTACAGGACAAAAAAAAGAAGAAAGAAAGAAAAAAAAAAATCTAGAGAACCACTGTCTTGATATATAATCCTAAAGGGTTGGATCATTTGATTTTTCCGGCCTCGTTAACTTCCGTTTTCCAATTCTCTCCAGAAAAAAAAACCAGTTGAACCCACAATCTTTTCAATCGTAAAACATTGTTTGGTGGAGAACAGGACAAAGAAAAGTAGTAGTGGTGGAGAACATGGGTAACGGGAAGGATGGGGAGCTTATTGAATTGTTCCAATGGTTTTGGTATCTTTGGATCAAGCCCTATCAACAAAAAAATCAGCAAAATTTGTCGGAGATCCATTTAGAAGGGCATTGCCCTTAATTGGTTTGGTAAGAACTCAGCGAAGGGTTTTGTTTTAATTTTTGTTTTTTAAATTTCATGACAAAAGAAAACCAAACAGGCTTTTGAATGATTGACTGATGGAGAGAGAGAATGTAAGATGCATACATCTATTATATGTGTGTGTGTGCGGGTATACACATAAGTGTGTGTATTTTATCTAGACATAAATAGGTCATGCTTTTGATTTACCATTCCTAACTAATATAACTTGACTAAAAAAAAAGTTGCTGCAGTGGGTTTGCAGAATAAAGCACTTTGAATCTCAGAATTTTGTTTTTCCTAGCACAGTCCAATTTGCTATAATATTATTTTATACACAAAGTTTTTTTGTTTTTTTTTGGTCTGTCTTTATAAACTATTATAAGTACTATTTTTGTTATAATTCAAAATAGATATTTAGTATAAAGTTTTGCTGTTAAATATTTGTTATTTAGTAAAATATGAATTTTTTTCTCTATTGTAAACATTGTCTGGAAAAATATTAATATGTTTTTATCACAGTCATTCTTAATATTAAAAAAAAAAGAAAAAAGCACTTGTGGGGTTTTTTTGGTTATGAAAGTGGTGCTGTGTGAACATGTGTTTCAGTCATGTGGTTTTTAATGTGTATATAATATTATATGTCACATATTAAAATGAATGTTGTGTATTTTGTGATCTTAAAAAATAATCGGTGTGGCTATTTTATAGACTTCCATAATAAAAAGAGTTGAATCTCCAGACATTTGTCTCTTATTTTGAGTCTGCCTGTCACCTTTTGAGTGAGGGATAAAAGCCCTTTACATCTAGGGGCTCTGCCAACCTATAAATATTGGGCTACATCCTAATTTGCCTGCTCTTGGGGTTCCTTGCACTCCTCTCTGAAACTGGTTACGGTTGATAAAGGGCACTGGGCGAGAAGGACCATGTGTCTGATCCCTTTTGGCAATTCGATTCCTCTGCAAGCAGGCTATGTTCCTGACGAGGGCCCTGTTCCTACAATCAGATCCATATGGTCAGACCCTTGTACCCTTCCCTACCGAGCCTCAATCGTGCTGTACACAAGTGCAAAGGTTTTTTCTGAATTGCACCACTCTTCGGCATTGGAGAATGATGTGGAGTTGGCAGCCCTGGTGCCCTGAGTTGTCCTGGGACAGGCCCAGCGTGGGCACTGCTAGTGCCAACTCCTTCACCCACTCAGTCCACCCAGAGGGATGCCTGCCAGGGAGAAGGGAATTCAGCCTCAGTTGACCCAACCTGTGGCCCCTGTGGTAGAAACACTGGGTTTTGTGACGGGGACATCCCCCCGCTACTCCACAATGACCAGAGCAGAGCTTGCCACCCCCCACAATAAGGTGGGCTGCCCTTTCCCCCTTCTTTGCAGAGCTGCCCTCCCTGACAGCTGGCCCCCACATCTGGCTGAGCTCCTCCTTATGCCCTCTACACCCCCGACCAGATCACTTGGGCTGGGTGCTCCTGCCCCTTCCCTTGCAGAAGGAG